TACTTCTCCCCATCAGATTATGCTTATCAGGGCTTCAATTCAGTGCGCAAGACTGGATTTTCCCACAGCACAGTGGTGGAATGATGAGAGAAGCTCTCAGACCCAGGGGAACTGATCGGTACACAATATGACCAAAATACAGGTCAAGCGAAAGCCCTAAGAGAGGGAATAGGGATCCTGTGGCTCTCTAGATCTTTCTGCGCTCAAGTTCCCATCATCCCTGAGCATTGGCCGTGCTGGCTGATGGGAGTTGAAGTTTGGAGAGCCACCCCAGGAAAGCTCTTGGTAGCAACCAAATCGCTTCCACTTTCCGTACCACGCCTGACACTTGGGTGGAGCTGTTGCAAAAAGGGACAGTACTAATAGACCAGCAGTCGTTCTTTGTTCATTCAGCCAAGCGAAGAGCAGAAGAGGCCCTCTCTAGTAGGGACATCCACAAAGTGGCCTTATTTTCGACCAGACCAGTGGTCCACCTAGCCAAGCATCGTCTATCGCCAAATTTCACATCTCCTTTGGGTCTTTGAGGACCACCTCTCCTAGGCTTCTTCCCCCAGAAAGTGGAGAAGCCAGGGTCTGAGTCTTGGACCTCAAAGGAGATGCTCTGCCACTGAGTTATAGGGACTCTCCCTTACTAGCCAGGTAGCTGTGGGGCATTAGCCAAAGGGCCACCAGCCCCTCCTGCCTTACAGACCCCAAACCCTGACCTCCCCAAGGAGGGAGGCTGAAACAGCTTCTGTGGCTCTAGGTCAGCCTTCCAGAGGTTTCGGGCTTCAACTCCCACCATCGCTAGGGAACACAGCTGTACGATGACGGGGCTAACAGTAGCGAGGCCCTGCTGGATGGATCCGATGGAAGTCGTAGCCCAAAACCTGGCGAGGGCAGGAAACAAGGCTGGCGGAGGCTGCTCTAGATATTTCAAGGGACAGAGGGTCTTTTTTGCCAACTCCGGGGAACAAAACTGCAGTTCTGTGTTTCCACTGTTCGTAGTCACAGTCAGCAACACCCAACAGGTGACTGAGGGTGTTTTAAGAAATGTTCCCCCCAATGATGTATTTGTCTATATTTCTTCCCCCATCCCCCACTGTGTTCCTCCATCAAATTAAAAGTTGATCCTGTAATACTTAACATCTCTCTGGCGTTCTTTCAGAGGGTTCTTGGGGTCACACGCTGCTCATGGCGGTTTTGGAACTGGTGGACGGAAAACACACAAGTACCCAAAGGTGGAGGTGGGGGGGGCATACCTGCCTGAAGTGAGCCAGGTAGCTACACCAAAAACCGATGTTCTCTGGGCCACCCATTCCCAGTTCTTTGGTCAAAATATCGCTACAAAGCTTGCTGCCAAAAGCAGTCATAGTAGCGCTTTGGTAAATTAATCCTGGTAAAGGGTTAACTTCACGATCATTTAATAAGAAGGGCATATATTTAAAGGGACACTTGTTCTTTGCAGCTACTTTGTTTCCGGTGTGTTGCTGCTACAGAAGAAATCAGCAACGGCCGACTCGAGCCTGCAACTAAGTGTTGCAGCGCAGTGTGCTTCTGTCCAGAGCTTCAGCCACTTCATTCCTCTCTCACTTGTACAGTAGTCCATGGTCCGTGAGCGAAATCCTGTGTGCTTAATCCCAGTTGCATTAAATTCTTTAGTTCCCCCACTGACCAGAAACACTCTCTTCCTGATTCACGCCAACAAGCTATTTCTCTGCATTTTCCTGGGACAAAAGTGACCCACCCAGACAGAAAGATGGTTTTTTTCTACCCTTTATACATAGATCTGTGTTCCTGTTCCAGCTTGCACCTCTCAACATCCCATTGAGTTACTTTGAGACTACTTGCGGGACTCCCTGCTGCAGTTTTTTTTTCTTTTTTACAGTTGCTCAGATCTTGGGAGTTAACTAGTCTGCCAGCTGTACTTCTCTCTTATGTGCTAGTGGGGTGGTTCCAGTCACATCCTCACAGGGAGACTTGAAGGAGTATTGGCGTTGAGATGACCCTCCCTTCCATGGTTGATACAGTCATACCTCAGGTTTCAGCAGCTTCAGGTTGCGTTTTTTCGGGTAGCGGACTGCCGAAGCCCAGAAGTACCGGAACACGTTACTTCCGGGTTTAGGCAGTCGCACATGCGCAGAAGCACTAAATCGCGCTTTGCACATGCGCAGAAGCGCCAAATCGCAACCCGCGCATGCGCAGATGCGGGTTGCGAATGCTGCGGGTTGCTAACATGCCTCCCACATGGATCACGTTCGCAACCTGAGCGTCCCCTGTACTTGCTTTCCTTTACTAAATTGTCTTTCCATTCATTTCGTATCTCAAAAGACACATCTACAGCGGTATCTCTGGTTGTGAATGGGATCTGTTCCGGAGTTCGGTTTGCATCCTGAAAAGAACGCAACCCGCTTCTGCGCATGACGTCATTTTGTGCGTCTGCGCATGCGGCGAAACCCGGAAGTAACCCGTTCCGTTACTTCCGGGTCGCCGCAGGACGCAACCTGAAAACGTGCAACGTGAAGCAAACGTAACATGAGGTATGATTGTACTGAAATTTCGGCAACAGCCTCGTTTATTTCAATTGATTAGCCAGCCAATCCTATCTGAAGGCAAACAATTAAGCGAGTGGCAATTATTTTAATCAAATAACAGTCCGCTAGGATAACAAGAGATAAGTATTTCTCAAATGGGGTGGAATTGATTCAATTCACACACTGAGCACACCAGCTGGCAAAATGGACCAGAGGCAGACAGCTACAGTTCTGGAGTTTATTTTGTGAGTCTGCTTTTACACTAGGAACAAAGGCTGACTACATATCCCATCATCTTTAGGTATTGGTCATGCTGGCTGGGAGTTGTAGTCCAGTATGGTGGGGGCGAAGGGACGCAGGGGGCGCTGTGGGTTAAACCACAGAGACTAGGACTTGCCAATCAGAAGGTCGGCAGTTCGAATCCCTGCGACGGGGTGAGCTCCTGTTGCTCGGTCCCTGCTCCTGCCAACCTAGCACAGTGTTTCCCAACCTTTTTTGGGCAAAGGCACACTTGTTTCATGAAAAAATCTCTCGAGGCACACCACCATTAGAAAATGTTTAAAAAATTAACTCTGTGCCTATATTGACTATATATAAAGTAACTCTCTTTAATAGGAATCAAATAAACACAAAGAAAGTATTTTATAATTACTTTATTATGAAATAGTAAGTAAACAGAAATATGAAAAATTATAAAATACTTTATTCAGTGCGCAACCTGGGCCTGTTTGGCTGAACACAAAGCTGATATTCTGGCTGGAATCGAAGAAAGACACACACGTAGCTCTTCGTCAACAGCTCTCAGTCTCTCTGTATTTAGTTTTTATAGCAAATGAAGGAAGAGTAAGCAGGCTGGGGTGGGTTAAGTAAGGGCTGAAAGTGCCTAGATGAAGTGGGGGAAGCTAGAGAGGAGGTACATTCTGACGTTTGAGGATAGACTAGGTTCTTTATGTGAATGATAGGTGAGTTATTTGACAGATCGAACTGAGAGCAAGGTGTGGCTTGTGTAGCTGGGGTGGACATGAATGTTTGGGGTGCAAACCCCAGGCCGGCCAGGTCCGAGGGGGGGCAGGGAGAGACGGGCCTGCCTGCCTCTGCCTGCGCTGTGGTGTGTTTTGCCCCGACCGACGGACGGACCGACCTGCCAGCTGTCTCCGCAGTAGCAGCGCGGACTGGAGCTCCGTCATTCTCCCCGCCGGTGCCCGGGGAGGGGAGTGTGGGGCGGCCGCTGTGGAAGCGACGGCGTGCTCCTCCTCCTCCTCCTCCTCTTGCCGGGCTAGAGCCAGCCGGCTAGCGCTCGCCCCTCCTTGCTCGAGCCGACCCCGCCGCCGGGGGCCTTCCCGTCCTCTCAGCGGCGCCGCCTCGCGTCCCTCGTCCGGGGGTTGGGAGGGGGCTGGGGGGGAGGAAGGGGGCGAAGGGAAGCAGCCGCCGCCGCTCCTGAGGAGATTCTGAGGCGGTGGCGGGCGACGCGTGGCGGAAGAGGAGGGGTCCCGCCAGCGTCGCGTTTCTCTCTCTCTCTCCCTCACGGAAACCTTCCCCTCAGCTTCTGCCGCTTTTTCTCTTCTTTCCCTCTTCCTTTTTTTTTTTTTTAAAAAAATGAAAAATCTTTCCTTTCTCTCTTTTCCAGCCCCCCCTCCCCTCTTCACGGAATTTCACTGCACTCGGGCGCCGCGGCGCGCAGGCGCACTGCTCGCTCCTCTTTCCGCGCAGGCGCCTTCTCTCGCTCTTTCGCCTCCTTTTCTTTCTCTCTCGATGGTCCGCCTACAAAGGAGCGAGGGAGGCGCCCACCATGTTTGGATTTGCATCCAGCAGGAGATGCCGCCAGCCGCCCCGTCTCTCGCCGCCCGACTCGCCCGCCTCCCTCCCACGGCACACCAGGCAACGTCTCGCGGCACACTAGTGTGCCGCGGAACACCGGTTGGGAAACACTGACCTAGCAGTTTGAAAGCACGTCAAAGTGCAAGTAGATAAATAAGTACCACTCTGGCGGGAAGGTAAACAGCGTTTCTGTGCACTGCTCTGGTTCGCCAGAAGCGGCTGTCATGCTAGCCACATGACCCGGAAGCTGTACGCCGGCTCCCTCGGCCAGTAAAGCGAGATGAGCACCGCAACCCCAGAGTCGGCCACGACTCAACCTAATGGTCAGGGGTCCCTTTACCTTTACCTTACGGTGGGGGCTGGCCTAATGGTTTATTATCCATTGCCTTAGCTTTTGATTCAGCTATTTGATTTTTTTTTCTTTAACCCCATACCTTCCTCATGGGGCTTTGGGGGGAAAGCACAGACTAGGGTTTAGAAGCCTATTCTCTCCAGCAAGAACATGCATTATACTTTTGACATCGTGCTTCTCGCCAGCATTTAAGTCCTGGTGACACAGAGAGTGCACCTCCACACAACCCAGCTGTGATTCCTGCATTTCAGGGGGCTGTACTATGGGTCTATGGTAGTCGTCTGAGTGCCGTACCCAAAGAATCAACCACCACCGCGTGAAAGAGCATGAACTTTTATTATTAGTTTAAAGGGGTTAACTTGCAACACACCTACTCAGGTCACCCCTATGACAACACACACAGTCCTGATTATATCAAATCACAGCCTGTCTGTAGAGACTAAGTCCCTGCGGAGCAGGGACCATCCGCTTTTTGTTCTCAAGCAAGTAGAAAATGCAGCAGTTTGGAAGTCTCAAAGCCACTGAAATGCCCCAAGGGGAAATGAACACTCCAGGTTTACTCCCTGTGCTTATTAAGAGCTTAGGTGGCTTTCAGAAGTCATGTGCTGCCAGTCCACACCCAAACAGCCCCCTGGCTGGTATGGTAACTGCTTGAAGCAGAAATATTCCCATCTCTGGTGGCAGGGGGTTCCCAAGACCTCCCAGTGACGTGGTGAAGAGCAAAGCAACTGCACCACTCAGAGAATCAGCAATTTCAATTTTTTATTTAAAGCCATCTTGTGGCGGCAGCAAGCCTTGCAGGAAAAAACAATCTGATAATATCAGCTGACCTGAAAAATCACAGCAGTGCCTCCTCTTTGCAGGGATGGATGGGGCGGAATAATAGAAATTCGCCAACTAGAGGAAGAAAACTGTCCTCTCTCTCTCATACACACAAAGCTAACTCGAAGGCCACTGTGACCACCATGCTTGAATACGATTGCGGGAACTTGCTCTAAGGCAGAGTATACTGCTAAATCTTTCAGCCGCATCAGGGACAGAGAGGCTGATGCTCTACGGATGCTGACGGACTCCCATCAGCCCTTGCAGGTAGCATGGCCGATGCTCAGGGCTGATGGGAATCAGATGACCGGAGGGTCACAGGTTCCCATTCCGTGAGAAACGCTGTTTGGCAGTGCCTGGAAGATAAGGCAGAGAACGCCATTTCTGGCCCAAGAGAGAGAGAGGGGGCAAGCCTTTTCCACACAGCCCTGCAGTGTTGGCCGACCAGCTCCCTACCCTGAAGGGAGAGGGTAGAATATGTTCGCCTACACTTCAAGCCCTAGTACCCAGAGAAGCCAAAACAGAAGCCAGGCAGCATAAAAAGCCCTTTTGTACTTAAGGGGAACAGAATCCAAGTCCGCAAGAGGAAGAGACAGATAGAAACAATTGACCTTTTTTTGCATGTAGGCTATCCAATATTATTGTGTGTTTTATTTTTAATGGATCTGTTCCCTTAACAGCAGCCGAGCGAGGAGAGGGATGCTGTTCCTTAGCATGGGTATAAAAGGAGGAAACTTCACCTGTTGAATTTCTGCTGCCAGCCTGCAGTTCAAAAGGCACAGAGCCCGCAAAGGAAGTCCACGTCCTTGCATGCAACACAAATGGGTTGATCTGGGCCTACTTTGCTGGGGACGGCTGTGTGTGTGTGGCAACGGGAGAAGGGGAACCACAGTTAACTGTGCTTTCAGAGGCAGTTCTGGGGACCCAGCTGTCCCCCCCCCCACCAAGCTGAGCCTGATGGGGATTGTAGTCCTAGACCTCTGGAGGGAATTCCAGTTTGGGAAGCCTGTTCTCGAGCCAGCATGCAAGAGATACCCTCTAAAGCAAAACACATCATCACAAGACAGGGATGCCAGCGGTAAAACACTGTTTATAAATGGCTCTGCTCAGACCAAGGAGCCAACTCAATTTGCCTGCCACTAACACCCACTCACCCTGCTGCTATTTCAGCTTCTTACCAGCCCGCTCTGTGCCAACTCAAGTGTGCCACCTGGGAAAAGAAGGAGCCTTTTTTGTGGGGTTTTTTTTTGACTTGCCAGGTAGCCAGCTGGTTTCATCAGAAGCTAGGAAAATAGGGGGTGGGAAATGGCCTTTCAAGGAAAAAAGGGGTTTTTAAGTTGGAGCTTGTTTTGAGTGACAAGCTGGGGAGGGCAGAGGCATTTTGGAGGCCAGGCTTTCGATTGGTCCAACTCTTCCCTACCTGCCCCTGCTATGATTGACGTCAGAAAACACCAGTGGCCAACTCGGTTGCTGGGCACACCCAGGTTTTGGAAGGGGACAATTCCTCCCTGGCCCCTGTGCATCCTTTGAAAACCAGCCCCCCAGCAGATGTTAAGAGCACGGCAGTCCGTTTTCACGGGCGCCTGCTGTTTTAGGGCGACGGGGAAGTCAGCCTAAAGAGTTTGGGGCAGCAGGAGAAGAGAGAGAGGGGGAAAATATATATACATATACACATTTCTATGCACACGCCTTCCTCTTCCGGTTTATGTGGTGGGAAATCAAAGCAGGAGACAGGGTGGCGGCCTGCTAGCAGACGGAAGCCCGTGCCCCAAACGCTTGGGGGTCAGAGATGAGTGCCGATCAACCCGAGGGGAGCAGCTCCTCAGCAGTCCTCACATGAACATGTCGTCGTAGTTGGGCGGCGGCAGGTGGTCGGGGTTTGGCCTGGAGGGCGAACAAAGAGCATCAACCGTCACTCCCCATATTCCAGCGCATGGGTAGGCAAACTCCGGCCCTCCAAGTGTTTGGGACTACAAGTCCCATCATCCCTGACCACTGGTCCCGTTAGCTGAGGATGGTGGGAATTGTAGTCCCAAACATCTGGAGGGCCAGAGTTTGCCTATGCCTGTTCTAGGGTGAGCAAGAATAAAATGCTACCCATTCCGTCTACAGAATGGGTAGGCAAACTAAGGCCCGGGGGCTGGATCCGGCCCAATCGCCTTCGCAATCTGGCCCGCAGACAGTCCAGGAATCAGTGTGTTTTTACATGAGTAGAATGTGTGTTTTTATTTAAAATGCATCTCTGGGTTATTTGTGGGGCACAGGAATTCGTCCATTCCCCCTCAAAATGTAGTCTGGCCCCCACAAGACGCTGAGGTCCAGCTCCGAGGGGCTTCTGGAGGTTCCCTCACTGCGAGAAGTAAAGCTACAGGAAACCAGGCAGAGGGCCTTCTCAGTAGTGGCACCCACCCTGTGGAACACCCTCCCAACAGATATCAAGGAGAACAACCATCTGACTTTTAGAAGACACCTGAAGGCGTTCAGGGAAGTTTTTAATGTGTGACATTTTAATGTATTTTTCACCCTTGTTGGAAGCCGCCCAGAGTGGCTGGGGAGATTATTATTATTATGATGTTTTATTTTATTTATTTTATTGTTATTGCATGTAAAATTGAAAATGCTAAAATAAACTCTCTCTCTCTCTCTGTGTCTCTCTGTGTGTATATATATTGAGAGAGAAGAGAGAAGGAGATTATTTTTGCATTTTCAGTTTCACATGCAGGAACAAATTTTATTTTATATATATATATATATATAGAGAGAGAGAGAGAGAGAGAGTGAGTGAGAGTGGTGTGTGTCCTTCCCTTCCCTGCCTGGAGATGCCAGGAATCGAACCAGAAGCATTCTGCATTCCAAGCAGATGCACTGAGCCTGAACTACGGCAACCCTGAAAAGCAGGCCCCATTCTTAAAACGTAGCTAAATCTCTGCAGCTCCTGCAGATGGCAGGATGCTATTGTTTCCGTTGGGTACGGGTTGAATTAATTATTGGTTCAATTAGTGAAAAGGGAGCAGCTGTTTTGATTTCCTGCCCCTGGCATGAAAATGTCTCGAATGCAGCAACGTTTTCAACGCTAAAATTCTAGGCTGGTGTCCGTCCCAGTCCCATCCCCCCAGCAAACTTGCCCCCCTACTTACCCACTCCGGTTTGCCCCAGGGGGTCCAAAGGGGTCGAATCTGGCACCGGGAGGCACGGATCCTGGAGGCAGCCTGTTGGGGAGTCCTGAAGACGGGTCGAGAATGGGATTTGGAAACCCTGAACGCAGCGGATCCATGATCATCCCACCGCTCCGGCTCCTGGGCAAGAAGAATTTGGGGAGATTGGAGAAGATCCATGGGGGAACATGAGCTGTAAATTTCTTATTTTATTTTATTTAAAAAACAGCCTTTCAGGTAAAGGGGACTGACTTACCCAAAGGGGTTCAGGTCTTCTCCTCCAACGGCGAAGGGCCCCATGGGGTCTGGCCTGAAACGGAAACGGCATTTTCAATCTCGGCCGAGAATAATAATAATAATAATAATAATAATAATAATAATAATAATAATAATTTATTATTTATACCCCACCCATCTGGCTGAGTTTCCCCAGCCACTCTGGGCAGCTCCCAATCAAATGTTAAAAACAATACAGCATTAAATATTAAAAACTTCCCTAAACAGGGCTGCCTTCAGATGTCTCTTAAAGATAAGATAGCTGCTTATTTCCTTCACATCTGAAGGGAGGGCGTTCCACAGGGCAGGCGCCACAGGGGACACAGAAAGGGCTGAACTCCTCAATGCTTTCTTTGCCTCAGTCTTCTCCGATAAAGAAAACAATGCCCGACCTGAAGAATTTGGAGCAAATGATTCAGCAGAGGAAACACAACCCAGAATAACTAAGGAGATAGTACAAGAATACTTGGCTAGTCTAGATGTATTCAAGTCTCCAGGGCCAGATGAACTGCATCCAAGAGTATTAAAAGAACTGGCAGATGTGATTTCAGAACCACTGGCAGTCATCTTTGAGAATTCCTGGAGAACAGGCGAAGTCCCGGCAGACTGGAGGAGGGCAAAATGTTGTCCCTATTTTCAAAAAGGGGAAAAGAGAGGACCCAAATAATTACCGCCCAGTCAGTCTGACATCAATACCAGGGAAGATTCTGGAGCAGATCATTAAGCAAACAGTCTGTGAGCACCTAGAAAGGAATGCTGTGATCACCAATAGTCAGCATGGATTTCTGAAAAATAAGTCATGTCAGACTAACCTGATCTCGTTTTTTGACAGAATTACAAGCCTGGTAGATGAAGGGAACGCAGTGGATGTAGTCTACCTTGATTTCAGCAAGGCATTTGACAAGGTGCCCCATGATATTCTTGTAAAGAAGCTGGTAAAATGCGGTCTTGACTATGCTACCACTCAGTGGATTTGTAACTGGCTGACTGACCGAACCCAAAGGGTGTTCATAAATGGTTCCTCTTCATCCTGGAGAAGAGTGACTAGTGGGGTGCCACAGGGTTCTGTCTTGGGCCCGGTCTTATTCAACATCTTTATCAACGACTTGGATGATGGACTCAAGGGCATCCTGATCAAATTTGCAGATGACACCAAACTGGGAGGGGTGGCTAACACCCCAGAGGACAGGATCACACTTCAAAACGACCTTGACAGATTAGAGAACTGGGCCAAAACAAACAAGATGAATTTTAACAGGGAGAAATGTAAAGTATTGCACTTGGGCAAAAAAAATGAGAGGCACAAATACAAGATGGGGGACACCTGGCTTGAGAGCAGTACATGTGAAAAGGATCTAGGAGTCTTGGTTGACCACAAACTTGACATGAGCCAACAATGTGACGCGGCAGCTAAAAAAGCCAATGCAATTCTGGGCCTCATCAATAGGAGTATAGCATCTAGATCAAGGGAAGTAATAGTGCCACTGTATTCTGCTCTGGTCAGACCTCACCTGGAGTACTGTGTCCAGTTCTGGGCACCACAGTTCAAGAAGGACACTGACAAACTCGAACGTGTCCAGAGGAGGGCAACCAAAATGGTCAAAGGCCTGGAAACGATGCCTTATGAGGAACGGCTAAGGGAGCTGGGCATGTTTAGCCTGGAGAAGAGGAGGTTACGGGGTGATATGATAGCCATGTACAAATATATAAAAGGATGTCACATAGAGGAGGGAGAAAGGCTGTTTTCTGCTGCTCCAGAGAAGCGGACACGGAGCAATGGATCCAAACTACAAGAAAGAAGATTCCACCTAAACATTAGGAAGAACTTCCTGACAGTAAGAGCTGTTCGACAGTGGAATTTGCTGCCAAGGAGTGTGGTGGAGTGTCCTTCTTTGGAGGTCTTTAAGCAGAGGCTTGACAACCATATGTCAGGAGTGCTCTGATGGTGTTTTCCTGCTTGGCAGGGGGTTGGACTCGATGGCCCTTGTGGTCTCTTCCAACTCTATGATTCTATGATTCTATGATTCTATGAGAAGGCCCTCTGCCTGGTTCCCCGTAACCTCACTTCTCGCAATGAGGGAACCGCAAGAAGGCCCTTGGCACTGGATCTCAGTGTCCGGGCAGAACGATGGGCTAGAGACGCTCTTTCAGGTATACAGGACCAAGGCCGTTTAGGGCTTTAAAGGTCAGTGCCAACACTTTGAATTGTGCTCGGAAATGTACTGGGAGCCAATGCAGATCCCTCAGGACCGGTGTTATGTGGTCCCAGGGCCACTCCCAGTCACCAGTCTAGCTGCCGCATTCTGGATTAATTGCAGTTTCCGGGTCACCTTCAAAGGTAGCCCCACATAGAGCGCATTGCAGTAGTCCAAGCGAGAGATAACCAGAGCATGCACCACTCTGGTGAGACAGTCTGTGGGCAGGCAGGGTCTCAGCCTGTGTACCAGATGGAGCTGGTAGACCACCTCCCTGGACACAGAATTAACCTGCGCCTCCATGGACAGCTGAGAGTCCAAAATGACTCCCAGACTCCACACCTGGTCCTTCAGGGGCACAGTTACCCCATTCAGGACCTGCCCGCCCCCTGTCCCCCCAAAACAGTACTTCTGTCTTGTCAGGATTAGATCAGAGAAGACAAGGAAATGTTTGGAATAACTTTTTTAAAAAGACCAGAGGCATTTCTGTGAAGCATTGTTTGCAGGGATATCCCGAAGGCCTTTAGGGAGGTATTTTTATATGCAACGGCCGCAGCTCGGACTTTGGTGGCAAAGGGGTGGAAGGAAGAAGAAGCCCCGACAATAACGGACTGGCATTGCAAGCTACAAGAATTTGCTGAAATGGCGCAGTTAACCAATACCCTGAGATGCAATTCAAAACAAAAATTTGTGGAAAAGTGGGATAGATATAAAACATATGTTCAAAAATACAGTAAAGGTTCGCTATCTATGCTAGCATTTGATTGATGTTGGAGTGAGACTGAGTTGAGAAATACGACTAAGAGCACATATTGCTATAGGAACGTATTAGATAATATGTAAAGAAATATACAATAATAAGAGTACATTCATTTGTAAAAAAAAACGGGAAAGACAGGAAGTCTAGTGTGTTGGTATGTATATGATTTTTTGGGGGGAAGGGAATTAGTTTTTGTTTTTTCCTCTTTCTTCCTTCTTACTTTTTTGTTTCATTTTCTTTCTAGGTATATAAAATTCATATATAATTTATGTATACGTGTTGGAAATTATATTATAGTAAGTCCTCTAATGTAATATGACAACGTTTACCGATGTAATATAAGAATGTTAACAAATAAATAAAATGCATTTTTTTTAAAAAAAGAGAGAAGACAAGGAAATCTAAGCAACGCTCAGCTCAGCGCTAGGATCCAGCCTTGCACATGTGAACCTAGGAGCCACAGCTGTCAACTTTTCCCTTTTCTTGCAAGGAATCCTATTCAGAATAAGGGAATTTCCCTTTAAAAAAGGAAAATGTTGACAGCTATGCTAGGAGCATCCCTGGGGCAACCTCTGGACCAAAGCCAGTCCCTCCCCACTCTCTGCCGCATTCCAAGGGGCTTTACCAGTTGGGCTGCCGGCTGCCGTGGGGATGGCGAGGCGGGATCCACAGCGGGTCGTGGTCAGGAGGGTTGGGTGGAGACGGGTTCCGCTCACGCCGGGGCTCCTCCTTGGCCACGCTCCTCTCTTTGGCCGCCTCGAAGGGAGAGACGATGTGGGCCGTGACCTGTGCCTGCAGCTCCTCTGTGTTCTGGTACACTCTGAGGCGGGAGAGAAGGAAGACAGAATTAGAGATCTCCGTTTCGACCACACAGTGGGAAACTGTTTTAACTGCTGTAACAAGGGTGTCTCTGCACCTTAAATTGAGGCTCACACTAGTACGTTTCCGAGCACAATTCTAAGTCTTGGCGCTAACCTTTAAAGCCCTAAATGGCCTTGGCCCAGTATACCCGAAGGAGCGTCTCCACACCCATCGTTCATATATATATATATATATATATATATATATATATTTGCTTTCGTAGATTTTCACGGGTACAGGAATGCAGGTTTTGGTGTCCTCGGGTGTCTTCCCGTGTAAAAGTTGGGGTGTCTAGGCGACGTTTCGACGAGGTCTCACTCGTCATCTTCAGGCTGGTGCTTTCGGCTTCTTGTTACTGGAACAGAGCAGGATCTCAGTGTTTGAGTTCCTATAAATACTGTTGAGGGGGTGTGGTGTATAGCCTCCAATGTTCTGGGCAGAGAGGAAGTTCCCAGGTTAGTGTGCCTTTTCTTCTTTTGTTCCTTAATTACTTGAGGGATATCTTGAGTGATTTCTTGAGTGATATCCTGAGTACCACTTAGGTGGGTCATTAGGTGTGGATTAGTTGCTAAAGCCTTCGTGTCTTGACCTCTTGAACTTTGTGAAGAGTTTTTCTGAGAAGATGGCTGTACTGCAATTAGTTGTGCTCTGGCTTGGCTTCGTGTATAGGGGCGAGCTGTGGTTTTGTGTCCTGTGCCAGCCAGATCTGTGTAGGGATTGCAGGGGGGTGCAGCATCTGGAGGTGCCACCATGGTTTGGCTACTGGATGGTGTCTGTAATTTATCTGTGGAGAGGGTCTGGGTTTGGGTCTGGTGTGGTTGATTGGTGATGGCGTTCTGTGTGCCTCTGGATCTGGTGTCGGTTTTTGTGGGGAGGGCTAATTTCCAGATGTCTGGCAGGCGGATGTGTCGTCACGCTTGTTCATGTTGTGAGGGTGTTTCTCTATCTCGATGGCTTCCATGATTATTCTCTTGTGGTGATGTTCCATGTTAGAGAGCAATTTGGAATCTGCAAAATTAATTTCGTGTCCTGTTTCTTTCATGTGTTGGAAAAGAGAGGAAGTTTTTTCTTCTTTTTTGACGGCATTTCTTCTTTTTTCTCACTCGAAACGTCGCCTAGACACCCAACTTTTACACGGGAAGACACCCGAGGACACCAAAACCTGCATTCCTGTACCCGTGAAAATCTACGAAAGCAAATATATATATATATATATATATATATATATGTACGTGTGAGTATATATATATATATATATGTATATATGTACATATATATGTATGTATGTGTATATATATGTGTGTGTGTGTGTGTGTGTGTGTGTGTATATATATATATATATATATACACACACATTTTTATTGGGTTTTTTTTACATATCAATTCCAACAATCTTATAACATAACTTCTTATCTTATATAATAATTTAGACTTCTGTCAACACCTCTGATGATTTCCCGTTCTTTATCACTTATTCTGCATTTCTTAGTTTCTCTATTACTCTTAATTACCATTAACTAATAATTCTCCTCATAGTCTTTCTTGCAGAGAGCCTTCTCGGTAGTGGCACCCGCCCTGTGGAATGCCCTCCCACCAGATGTCAAAGAGAAAAACAACTACCAGACTTTTAGAAAACATCTGAAGGCAGCCCTGTTTAGGGGAGCTTTTAATGTTTATTGGTTTAATGTATTTTTAATCTTTTGTTGGAAGCTGTCCAGAGCGGCTGGGGAAACCCAGCCAGATGGGCGGGGTATAAATAAAATAAAATTATTATTATTATTATTATTATTATTATTATTATTATTATTATTATTATTAATAATAATAATAATAATTCTACAACAAAAAAGACTATTTAGAGTATACTGGACCCCAATATGTTTGTTTAAAAAAGGGCTATCTAAGGTATCTAACTGTTGGCAGAGAACAAGCCCTCAAGAGGTTTCAGGCTCAGTCACTAAATGTCTTCTCAAAAAGCCTGGCCAGTTGCTCCTCTCAGCCTGGCCTACCTCACAGGGTTCTTAGGGGGATGGAATGAGGAGCGGGGAGAACAGTGCATTCCGCCTTGAGCTCCTTGGAGAAAAGGTGGGATATAATTCATAAATCCATCAGTGGGAAAATGTCTAATTTGGCCGTGTGCTTTTTGATGTTGAGATTCCTGCTCAAACTGGGATTCCTGCACGGCAGGGGGTTGGACTAGATGACCCTCAGGTCCCTTCCAACTCTAGGTGTTATCTTTCTTGTTTATGACTCCCTTTGTTTTGTTTGCAATGTTGTACTTTTCCATCTTGCAAGCTGCCTTTGAGCATGGTTTGAACTATGGAAAGACAACATGCAAATAAAATGATGTACTGTATTTTTCACTCCATAAGACACACTTTTTTCTTCCTAAACAGTAAGGGGAAATGTCTGTATGTCTTAAGGAGCGAATGTGTGGTCCCTGGAGCCGAATTGCCCAGGGGCAAAAAGCAGATCATGCTCTTTTTTTTGAAAGAGGAAAGGGAGTGTTGAAAGGAAACAGCTGATTGGCAAGCGATCGGGAGATAAGGGAGGCTAGCGATAAAGGAGGCTGCCTGCGAGGGGGGGAGGATCCTCAGGATTTTTGCATTGGGTCACCCCAAATTCACCATCAGATCACATAGCATGTCCATGGCTACAGCCTGCACCAAAAAAAATCAAGCATCCACTGTTTCGTGGGGCCGCAATGGAACAAAAAAAATGGTTACAAAGCACGGATCCACATGGATCCTCAGGATTTTTGCACTGGGCTACCCCAAACTCACAGTCAAATCACATCTCTGTGGCCACAACATGAACCACAAAAATCATACATCCACTGTTTTGTTCAGCATATTCCCCCCCTTGTTTTCCTCCTCTAAACAACTAGGTGAGTCTTATGGTCAGGTGCGTCTTATGGAGCGAAAAATATACATGTGTGTTTGGCTTGCCCACTATTGAACATAAAATGATTCATTTTCCCCGTGCATGTCTGATGTGGCTGGGGGTTCTCGGCTTATGTTCCCACAGCTGTGGAAAGGCCACGCATGTCTCCCCCCACCCAAGGGCCCCTTTGCAAACAGACATCGCTCTTCTTCCGAATGCACCCAAGACCTTTACAAAGAGCTGCAATTACTTGTCAAAATCAGCCAGGTGTTCTGGGTCGATGAAGTCGGACACTTTCAAGGTCAAAGCTGTCACTTTCTGTAACTTGGGATCCTGGAGGGAAAACAGAAAAGAGACAGAGCTGAGTTTGGGAAGGACGGAGGTGGAAAAGCGGGAGGAGTATGAACGCACCCCCTATTGAGTGGGGGGGGGGCGGCAGCAAGGAAGATCTCCCTCCTGAAAGTTGTACCACCTTGCGTCTGATTAAAGGAGCTGGGAAGGAATCTCGCTCTGTGCATGGTCAGAGGCACTCTTCTCCAATTATCCTCCTACGGCAGGTTTGATCCCAGGCACTGAAAAAACGGATTCCAGTGCTCACATTAAATAAGTACAATCGAACCAAACAGGAAAGTCCAACTCCCTGCAGTGCAGGAATATTTTCAGCCCAACGTGGGGCTCGAACCCCTGACCTTGAGATGAAGAGTCTCGTGCTCTAGCAAAGACCTTTCTGCTGCTGGAAAAGGGCCGCAGGTCATGAGCAGAGCATCTTCCTTGCATGCAGAAGGACCCAAGGTCACCAACTCTAAGCAGGGCTTGAAATCCTGGACAGCTGCTGCCAGCCAGTGGAAACAATACTGGGCCGGATGGGCCCAGCAGACTACATAAGGCAGCTTCCCATGTCCAGGGCAGCTGTTTATCAGCTCCATCTGGTACGCAGGCTGAGACCCTCCCTGCCTGCAGACCGTCTCGCCAGAGTGGTGCATGCTCTAGTTATCTCCCGCTTGGACTACTGCAATGCGCTCTATGTGGAGCTACCTTTGAAGGTGACCTGGAAACTGCAACTAATCCAGAATGCGGCAGCTAGATTGGTGACTGGGAGCGGCCGCCAAGACCACATAACACTGGTCCTGAAAGACCTACACTGGCTCCCAGTACGTTTCCGAGCACAATTCAAAGTGTTGGTGCTGACCGTTAAAGCCCTAAACGGCCTCGGTCCAGTATACCTGAAGGAGTGTCTCCACCCCCATCGTTCTACCCACACACTGATGTCCAACGCCGAGGGCCTTCTGGTGGTTCCCTCACTGCGAGAAGAAAAGTTACAGGGAACCAGGCAGAGGGCCTTCTCGGTGGTGGCACCCGCCCTGTGGAACGCCCTCCCACCAGATGTCAAAGAGAAAAATAACTACCAAACTTTTAGAAGACATCTGAAGGCAGCCTTGTTTAAGGAAGCTTTTAATGTTTGATAGGTTATTGTATTTTAGTGTTCTGTTAGAAGCTGCCCAGAGTGGCTGGGGAAACACAGCCAGATGGGTGGGGTATAAATAAATTATTATTTTTTTTATTACTATTATTATTATTATCATCATCATCATCATCATCATCCATCAGCTGCCTGCAGAGCCGCCTCACCATGGCATTGAGGATGATGCTGCCGTCCATCATGATCCCCTTCAGCAGTAGGTCACGGGAATCGTCCTTCATCCTGTAGCGGAGGGTGAACAGGTCGCTGTCTGCGTTCCACCCGGCAGGCAGCATCTCAGACTTCCTCTCGTTGGCGCCTGGCTGTGCAACGACACCCCGGAAGAGACAGGCGAAACTTTAAAAAATTCACTGGACTGCATCTCTTTGACCTCTGATGGAAGGTGCACTTGGGTGGACTTTGGGCACTATTCTAGCTATTTAAAGCATTTTTACCTTCCTCTTCAGCTGAAAAGGCACCCATTTTTTTTTAAACCCTCCATTCCTTACCAGCAGATTCACAGGTTAAAGAGACGGCATGAAAGGAAAATGGGTTGGGGAGGGAGGAGGAAGAGTACAAGCACTTTCTTGCGTCTGGTACCAGTCCTTAAACATGGCCTGGAAAGGACCTTCTCAGTGGTGGCAGCTTCCAGACTCAAACTCCCTTCCCAGGGAAACTGGATTGGCTCCTTATCATTGTAATAAACAACAACAACTCGCCCTTCCCCCTAAGGTCCCAGGGCAGGTCACAATATTAAAAACAGTTCAAAACAGCATGCAATCATAAAAATAAGGTAGGTCATACAAATAAATATACACAAGCAATTCTGACATTTTAATGCTGCAATGCGCCATGGGACCTTAGGGGGAAGGGCAGGTAAACAAACAACAACAACATGTGCAGGAAGAACGACATTTGCAAGCTATACATCCAGCCAAGCTATACATCCAGCCAAGTTCTCTGGGTAGTTTTTACAATACAGAGATCAATAAAAATTAAAACCAAAGCATTGGCATTCTTATTTTTGGTATGATAAAGTCAAAGTACATAGAGGTCTTACAAATCATGTGATATGTATGAGGTTTGGGAAAGGAATAAAAACCTGTTGGAGAGGAAAACACCATGGCGGATATCACCTGTGGAGCTATTAACTGTTTAAAGGCTCAGGAACCCATTGCAGGGTTATGTTATGCATTGAGAAGCTACTGCACCTTTTCACAATATTCTAATTTTCTGAGATTGTTAATTTGGGGTTTTCATCAGCTGTACGCCATAATCATCACAATTATAACAAAGGCTTGCCATATTTCGCTTTGCATGTCATGAGTCCATCTCATATATTAGTTTTTTCACCTTTTAAGTTGAATTACAGAAATAAACTTTTCCATGATATTCTAATTTTTTGAGTTTCACCTGCACATTTGAAAAGGAAAAGCCTGTTGGCGTGATGGAGGGAAGTCATAAGCTCGCCAGAGCAGTAGGGAATGAGAGTTGTAGACGAGTATTTGAAATTATTGTTTATTGTTTAAAGTGAAAATGTAATAAAAATTATATTATATATATAAAAAAATTAAAACCAAAGCAAGCACCTGCCTACAGTTCTGGTTGCCACACCCTTAAAAGATATATATATATATATATATATATATATATATATATATATATAATAGAAAGGGAATAGGAAGCCAAAATTAAAACAGAATCATAGAACTGAAGGGATCCAGGGGGTCATCGTCCAACCCTCTGCATTGCAGAACCTCAACTAGATCACGCGTGACAGATGGCCATTGAACCTCTGCTTAAAATCCCCCAAGGAAGGAGAGCACACCACCTCCCACCTGGGCTTTTGAGGAGTGGGGGAGGAAGGTAAGTTATGGGGAGAGGCATAACATGTAAGATTCTGTGTCCAGGGCAGCTGTCTACCAGCTCCATCTGGTACGCAGGATGAGACCCTCCCTGCCTGCGGACTGTCTTGCCAGAGTGGTGCATGCTCTGGTTATCTCTCGCTTGGACTACTGCAATGTGCTCTACGTAGGGCTACCTTTGAAGGTGATCCGGAAACTACAACTAATCCAGAATGTGGCAGCTAGGCTGGTGACTGGGAGCGGCCGCCGAGACCATATAACACCGGTCTTGAAAGATCTACATTGGCTCCCAGTACATTTCCGAGCACAATTCAAAGTGTTGGTGCTGACCTTGAAAGCCCTAAACGGCCTCGGCCCAGTATACCTGAAGGAGCGCCTCCACCCCCATCGTTCAGCCCGGACACTGAGGTCCAGCGCCGAGGGCCTTCTGGCAGTTCCCTCACTGCGAGAAGCCAAGTTACAGGGAACCAGGCAGAGGGCCTTCTCGGTGGAGGCACCCGCCCTGTGGAACACCCTCCCACCAGATGTCAAAGAGAACAACAACTACCAGACTTTTAGAAGACATCTTAAGGCAGCCCTGTTTAGGGAAGCTTTTAATGTTTGACAGATTACTGTATATTAATATTTTGTTGGAAGCCGCCCAGAGTGGCTGGGGAAGCCCAGCCAGATGGGTGGGGTATAAATAATAAATTTATTATTATTTATTATTAATTATTATTATTATTATTATTATTATTATTATTATTATTCAAATACCACATCCTGCTAGGCTGGCGGCCACTGCTTCTCACTAGCCTGGGAGGCCCTGTGATGCAGCTGGCCTGAGGCGTCCAGAGACGAGGAAGGAGTTGGCAACCCCTCTCCTTTTTTGCCCCAGGAAGTTAAGAGGAGACAGCCTACTCCATGGGTAGGCAAACTAAGGCCTGGGGCCGGATCCGGCCCAATCGCCTTCTAAAACCAGCCTGCAGAGGGTCCTGGAATCAGTGTGTTTTTAAATGAGTAGAATGTGTGCTTTTATTTAAAATAATAATAATATAATAATAATTTATTATTTGCACCCCGCCCATCTGGCTGAGTTTCCCCAGCCACTCTGGACGGCTTCCAACAAAGATTAAAAATACATTAAAATGTCCCACATTAAAAACTTCCCTGAACAGGGCTGCATCTCTGGGTGATTTGTGGGGCATAGCAATTTGTTCATTCCACCCTCCCCTAAATATAGTCCGGCCCCCCACAAGGTCTGAGGGACAATATACCGGCGCCCTGCTGAAAAACGTTGCCTACTCCTTCGCCCTTTTCACAGCCTGCCAAAGGGGAGGCCAACACTACGCAGCTACCCAGAAGAGATCACGCCCCCTGGCACCATTACGCAGCTGGACAGAGGAACAGAGGGGGGGGCAAGCGTTGGCAACCCCCCCCCCCAATTTTTCCAGCCTGGTAAGCAGCGCCAGCATTAACCCCTGCCCTTCCCGCAGCCTGCCGCCACGCAGCTGCCCAGACGATCTCACGCCCCCTTCGCCGCTACGCACCTGGGCAGAGGCGCCGAGAGGGGGGGGGCAAGAGTTGGCAAACCCCCCCCCTATTTTTCCGGCCTGGTAAGCAGCGCCAGCATTAACCCCTGCCCTTCCCGCAGCCTGCCGCCACGACGCAGCTGCCCAGACGATCTCACGCCCCCTTCGCCGCGCCGTACCTGGGCAGAGGCGCCGAGGGGGGGGGAGAGCGTTGGCAACCCTCCTTCCCTTCTGCTCTCACCTCGTCGCCGGCGCCGAGGCAGCGGAAGCCTTGCGTGATGAGCTTCCAGTGCAGGTAGCAGATCAAGGCGTCCTGCGGGCTGGAGATGTCCGGGGAGACCGAGTGGTAGAGGAGCTCCAGCCCGGCCATGGCGCCGTCCCGGCCGCCGCCGCCGCCTGCACGTGGGGAAGGAAGGAGAGAAGGAAGGAGGAAGGATTAGGAGGAGGAGGAGGAGGAGAAAGAGAAGAAAGGGCCTTGCAGCGCACACAACCAGCCGCCGGCGCAGGAGGGTCCCTCTCCGGTTAGGCGCGCTGCGAAAGCGAAAGTGGCGACCGGGGAAGGAGCCTCCCCCGCGCGCGCGCGCAAAGGGAAAAGAGGGAGGAGGAAGCCTTTCCCCGGTTAGAGTCCCCGGCTCTCTGCACTCACAAGCCCGGCAGCCAACGCGGAGCCGGGCGTTGGGGTTCCGACGGCGACGGGAAAGCGCAAAGAAGGGGAGCATCGCGTCCATGGCGAAGCCAGGCAACCGCGCGCCAAGTTGGCGTGCGCGCTGGTGCTTTTATGCGCCAGAGCGCACGGGAAGGACGGAAACGGGCTCCGGGTTCGGGGTGGTTTTGCGCCTGGGAAAAAAGCAAGGCCGCAGTCAAGTCAAAGGTGCATTGAAGAAATATGATTTGGAAACATAAAAGGGAAGATCGGAGGTCACGCTGCATTTGATCGCAAATAAGATAAAAGGCAAATAATGGAGGAACAAATGGTTGCAGATTATTTGTTACCATTTTTTCTGTTTGCATTTACTGAGTATTTCTGTTATGCACTTCTCAATTAATAAAGCATTTAAAAAAAAAAAATAGGGGGGGAGAGAAAAAGAAAGGCCGCAAGCGGAAAGTGGGGAGGAGGTGGAGAAATGCAAACACGCTGCCCTGAAATTAATAATAATATAATAATAATTTATTATTTATACCCCGCCCATCTGGCTGGGCTTCCCCAGCCACTCTGGGCGGCTTCCAACAGAGCACTAAAATACAATAACCTATTAAACACTAAAAGCTTCCCTAAACAGGGCTGCCTTCAGATGTCTTCTAAAAGTCTGGTAGTTGTTTTTCTCTTTGACACCTGGTGGGAGGGAGTTCCACAGGGCCAATCAGGTTCACCTGTAGGCCAATCAGGTTGTGGGTTCACCTCCACCTGGAGCTGGATTGGGTGGCTCCTGTGGACCAATTAGACTACTGCATTCTGGACCCTATTCTAGGACCAATCAGACTGCTGCCTTTTGGATCCTGTTCAGCTCAATACATAACACTAAGCATCTAGGAGGCTGAGAGACTCTGATTGGGCCAAGGCGAGTTTCATGCCTGAAGTTGGGATTTGAACTTTGGTCGCCCAGACTCTAGCCCAGCACTCTAACCACTGCCCCAAACTGGCACCCAAACACTGGCGATTGCCAAACAGGCCTGATTTAAAGGGTGTGCCTTCACTGCACCCTTTTCTGCTAAAGACTGGTGTCCTTTATACAGTTCATGGATGTTTTCAATTTATGGAATGTTTTAATCTGTAAACCCCAACAGGGTATAAATAAATGCATAATGATAATAACTGGGTTTGTGTTTTTTTTACTAATAATTTTATTGTTTTATTCTTTTGGTGGACTGCTTTGAGGTTTGTTTGTTTTACAACCAAGTACGTAAATTTTTATGAAATAAATATAAACAAATAAACGGGTTTGGTTTATACTAGACTGTGCCTACTGGTTTCCCCAGTAGTGATGTATGGAAGTGAGAGCTGGACCATAAAGAAGGCTGATCGCCTAAGAATGGATGCTTTTGAATTATGGTGCTGGAGGAGACTCTGGAGACTGCAAGAAGATCCAACCTATCCATTCTGAAGGAACTCAGCCCTGAGTGCTCACTGGAAGGACAGATCCTGAAGCTGAGGCTCCATGACTTTGGCCACCTCACGAGAAGAGAAGACTCCCTGGAAAAGACCCTGATGTTGGGAAAGATGGAGGGCACAAGGAGAAGGGGACGACAGAGGATGAGATGGTTGGACAGTGTTCTCAAAGCTACCAGCATGAGTTTGACCAAACTGCGGGAGGCAGTGGAAGACAGGAGTGCCTGGCGTGCTCTGGTCCAGGGGGTGACGAAGAGTCGGACACGACTAGACGACTAAACAACAACAACAATCTAAGGAATGTTGGGGCTTCCTAACTTTCCAGAAATCTGAAATTAAGAGGACTCAGGAGAATCTCTGAATTGCATCCTCTATGCAATCTTATGAAGATCTTAAAGTACCCGGATTTGAAACCAGTGTCGGACACGACTAAAAAACTGAACAACAACAAAGCCTGTGCCAAGCTACCTCTGTTCTCCCCACTGGGGAAGCCCCCTATAGCCAGGCTCCCCCCCCCCCGCACACCCCTCCAACCCTTCCCATGCTTTACTACTGACCATGTGTTTTCCGGGCTCTCTCCGCCATGGCTACTGCCACCTGCCCCACATGGTCCAAAGGGAACAGAAGAAGGGGGGCAGAGGCCGGGGCAATAACATGGCCTCCAGCTTTGCTTTGCCGACTTGCCCGGTTGCCGTGCAACAGAGACCCCAGGGTTCCATGTTCCATGCGCCCAGCTCTTGCAAGAGACTCCCAAGTCGGTTGGGATCAGGGCCGAGAGGAAGAGCGCAGGTCACCAGGATTGGGCCTGAATCACTGGTGCTAAGTGAGCTTGCGATGCTGGCCTTCCTTGCCTCCTGGCTGGCCCCTCTGACTCGGGAGTAAGGGAGCGATGCTTTATTACAGCAGATCAATAATAATAATTTTGTACAAACAACTCCATATTTTCTTTACAAATATTTATCATTTACAATACTGTCTTATTTATTTTATAGTACTGTACATTGATTATTGCTTTCATGTTATGGATCAATGGTAAAATTCATGTTAAATTGCTGTTGTAGGGGTTGTTTCTAAAAGTCTGGAATGGATTAATCCGTTTTGCATTACTTTCTATGGGAAACAAAACAAACAAACAAAAATCCTTCCATGTCGGTCTGACTATGGCAAACCAACACGGCTACCTACCTGTAACTTTCTGTGGGAAAGTGTGCCTTGGTTTTGGAACGCTTTGGTTTGGGAACGGACTTTCAAAACGGATTAATCTTGAGAACCAAGTTACCACTGTATATACGATAAACAAGCATGCTTCATTCAAAGGTCTTGAGCATGGGTAGGCAAACTTAAGGCCCGGGGGCCTGATCCGGCCCAATCGCCTTCTAAATCCGGCCTGCGGACCGTCTGGGAATCAGTGTGTTTTTACATTAGTAGAATATGTCCTTTTATTTAAAATGCATCTCTGGGTTATTTGTGGAGCATAGGAATTTGTTCATCCCCCCCCCAATGTAGTCTGGCCCCCCACTAGGTCTGAGGGACAGTGGACTGGCCCCCTGCTGAGAAAGTTTGCCGACCCCTTGGCTTGAGTTAACCTCCAATGGTATCAAATAGAAGTTGCCTGGCGATCTCAGAGGGCCACTGGAGGGCGCCCCACCCTTTCTAAAGCTCCCTTTCTGAGATTTCAATTTTGTGCTTTCTGTACCCTTCTCTGTTGTGTGTTTGGGTCGGGAGACAGAGAGGCTTCCATCGCTGGAGGAACGGGGAGCCAGCAACGCCAAAGTGGCTTTTTCAAACCCACACCTGTAATCGTTGGAAGTTGCAAAGTTACCTGAACTGCATTTGGGGGCACAACTGCCTCTATTCATAGCTTGTGGCTTTACTCTGTATTTCTTTTGATGTTGTGCTTTTGTTTCCATGAACAGCTGATGGCACCTGTTTCCCTGAGTGCAGCTATAAGACGCGTGTTTCTCAAAGCTGTTACAGGAAAATCCTTGGGCTCACTTGGATTGCCAAGCAAAGACGCCAGCTAGGAATATAGGAGCGAAACAGCAGTCAGCAAGCCTGGTCTTTTATTTTTTAAGGACTGTTGCAACAGGACTTCCACCCCCACCACATGGGAGAAGCAGGAAGAAGCCCAGAACAAACGATGGCTCCCACTTTTATCAGTTTTACAAAGATACCCACAACACCCCAAGAATTACATCATGCATACATCACAAATACGTCACAAAGTGGGAGGGTCTGAATAAATAAATAAAATTAATAAATTGTCCAGTAGCACCTTAGAGACCAACTAAGTTTGTTCTGGGGACGTGAAGTGGGCTGTGCTCTGCAAGCCAGGCAGGCGAAGAGGGATGCTATAGGCAAAATGTGCCATCTTTATTCCATTAATAGGAATCAGAACGGAAGAGCTATGGGAGCCTTAACTGGATAAAAAGGGGTGATGCTGAAGCTGAGATGGCACTTTTTTTTTTTTTAAAAAAAACACATTTTATTAATTATTGCATTTATATTCTGCCTTTTCCTCCAAGGAGCAAAAGGTGGCAAGTGAGATTCTCTGGCTCAGGGGCAAGAAACACCATTTGCTGGTTTGCAACAGGAGGGAGAGGACTTGAGCCCCATGTACAGCTTGGGCTCCCCGAGAAAGGTCATTGTGGGAATCAAGATGGCAGAATGAATGGTTCTTTGGTCTGGCCCAGTAGGACTCTGAGGTCCTATGCATATGATGGGTGGCTGGAACAATTAAGAATCTATCTTTTGGGCGATCCGAGAGACTGCAAGTAAGAGATCAAGAAGGGGACCATCTGCAAAGTCCACAATGCTTATAACAGGATGCTATTCCAGTACAGAGGGACGCGGGTGGTGCTGTGGGTTAAACCACAGAGCCTAGGACTTGCCGATCAGAAGGTCGGCAGTTCGAATCCCCGTGACGGGGTGAGCTCCTGTTGCTCAGTCCCTGCTCCTGCCAACCTAGCAGTTCGAAAGCACATCAACGTGCAAGTAGATAAATTGGTACCGCTCCAGCGGGAAGGTAAACGGCATTTCCATGCGCTGCTCTGGTCCGCCAGAAGCGGCTTAGTCATGCTGGCTACATGACCTGGAAGCTGTCTGCAGACAAACGCCAGCTCCCTTGGCCTATAGAGTGAGATGAGCGCCGCAACCCCAGAGTCGTCCGCGACTGGACCTAATGGTCAGGGGTCCCTTTACCTTTACCTAATAAATAAATCCCTTTTAACTTACTGAGGTTTCCACAATACACTTTTGTCTCTCTATCTTTTTCTTAACATATCAAAGAGAGAAATGCCAAGAAAGGAATCACAAAAAGAAAGAAAGAAGAACAAAAAGGGGTGTGTGTGAAGGGAAGGGTAAAAAAGAAAAGAAGAGGAAGAAAACAAAGCAAAACAAACATATTTGACTTCCAATTAGACTCATTGTATTATTATTTCTACAGTTTTTTCACACACAGTTCCAAATTATTGTATTTCTTTCTTTGTTTTTCATC